CTGTGAAACGAAACAAAGTGTACAGATCAACAAAAGTAATAACTCATAACTCATTAGTTCGTTTCGGAATAGCTGATGTGCTTTAATTCTGTTTTTCTCTTTAGGAATCAGTCCTGTAGCGATGCGATAATAAGTGGTTCTGGTCTGCCTAATCTGTAATGAATTCCAAATGCACTGAGATTTTTATCGAATAATGCTTGAGGATACTGCGTTTGACCGCCTGATGGATTGGGCTAGAAACTGATGCCTTTTGGGCTAGTAAGTTAGTGTAAAACCCATAATGGGTTGTTGTTCATCTTCCGTGTCTTCAAGAGACGAAGACACATTTATAAAATCTTAGAGCATTCTTTTTTCACCAGTGAACTTATATTAACAATTTGAGGCTAATAATGGTCGACATTTATCATCTCGCCAAGCCATCATTACTAGAAAACACATCGTTCTCTCTGCTGCGCTTCCTGTCACATTCAGCGTTCGCTCCTTCTGCTTTTCTCAGTGGCCACCATAGTTTTTGTCCGGTCGATGGCATCAGTCCATTATCGTTTTCTTTGTAGCGCTTTCGCGCAGCTGTGAAAGCATACAGCTCCAATGGGAACCGCTAGAGAAGGATATTATATGCATGATAAATAATACTTTATTTTTTTTAAGTTATTTCAATCATCGCGAGAATGTTGTTTTGCCAGAGGCAGCAAAAAAGCTAGAAGATATGAAGCATTCGGTCGAGGAATTACGCCAAGAGAGACAGAAATTGGAGGAACTATTGCTCGGGGTGAGCTCTTTCGAAATTTTTCTCGCTCAGTCACTCTGTTTGCAAATTAAGATACTGAATTAAATTAAAGCAGTAAACCAGTGTCAGATCAGTTCATACTTTCCTGCAGTAATTTAATTCGTTTCAATTCACCTTCAAATTCAGTTATCTCCGATGTCCATTCTTTGCACATTTATTGGGAAAAATAGCGCTGTTGATGTCTGTCATGTAATTTTCAGGATTCCTTAGCCAATGAGTCCAAAATACTGGCAGAATGGTACGATACTCTGCATGCGTTGGGGATAAAAAAGATAAAAAAACCGATTGCACTGGATGACCACAAACCAAAGTATCATTTACGTTTCAAGAATCTGTCTTATTTCTGACCTAAAATTTTTGTTAATTTTTCAAAAACATTCCTTTAACAGAATATTGGTAATAGGCGCGCTAATCGAAATTGTTAGCATAAATGTTTTTATGCGTTTTTGCTGTGCAGCGCTATAGCAGCGCTATAGCGCTGCTACAGCCATCAAAAACG